GGCTCGCCTCCGTCCCACGGTCCCTCCTCTGCCTGTCCCGCTCCATCCCTTCCATCCTTTCCCTCGTCTGCCTGCCCTGCACATTCGTCTGGTTCACTGCATGCATCTGTCTGTGGACCCACGGTCCCTCCTCTGCCTGTCCCGCTCCATCCCTTCCATCCTTTCCCTCGTCTGCCTGCCCTGCACATTCGTCTGGTTCACTGCATGCATCTGTCTGTGGAGGCTCGCGTTCACCCGTCCTCCCTTCCCGTTCGTTGCCCGTTTATTTAGCTTTTGTTTGTAGTGTTGGCCTTGTCTGTTTGTCCACTGCGTGCAGCCTCCTGCCAAGGGCGTCTGTCTGTCTCCTCTCTGTCCGTCGGGCCGGTTCCTAACTGTGCCATCCATCCCCACGGTACCAGCCATCTCAGTCCTGTCCAGCCATTGCAGTTATGCATCGCTGAATCCCTTCAGCGTAGCTTTCCAGCAGTTTATCCAGGCAACCGCTGTGCCTGTGAACTTTGCACATCTGGCCCTAGCACCGTTGCTCTGCAAATTAGCTCCCTCCTGTCTATCTGCCCATCTCTCCATCATCGCTCTATCGCTCCGTTCATTTTTCTCTCCCTCTCTATCTTCCTGTGGCATCTATATATCATTTGTCCACAAAATAAATCTCTTTCTATCCTGTATACTGCCCACTCATCTTCTTTATCTACCCTCCCACTTACCGAAGGCATATACATTTACAGTATCTATGGGATCTGTTGCATTATACATATGCTCGTTATATTCACATACAAAATTTATGGGCACACACAATCTCACACAACACAAGCGATGTGGATCGGTGCAGCAACACCGTACTGTTCTTTTTCTGTCACTGTCACCACAGTTTACAAAGAAGTTGTGTATTTACTAACAGGCGAAAGGCTTTCCTAGGGTACATTTTGGGGGTTATTATTTTTTAATAGGCTGTTCTTGGGAGATCTGGGGTGGGCTTGTACTTCCACTTAGTATTCGATCAATTGCTGGCTTTTGTAACACTTCCAAAATCGACTTTGTGTAGAACGTAGACAAACAGCAGTGAAAATTTTTGTCCCTGAAATATTACAAGGTACCGAATGGGCCCTGGAGGCACATTTGTAAGGCGTCTAGGGTAACAAATGAAGACACCGACTATGCAAAAAATCCCATTCAGAGATCAACAAAAATAATAAAGATTCTTAGGAGAAGAGAGGGAAGGGGGAAAAAAAAAAAATCTACATTTGGCTCTGTACAGAAAGAAGCGAAACAGATAAGGGCAGATGAGAAAATGCCTTTCCAGCAATAATTTTAAATAGCGATTGGGAGGCTTTGATTCAAGGACCAGAATTACAGCCTCGGCCGCAAAGGCCAGCTTGCACATTTATCACCTACGCCAAATTCAGTTAGGTCTTATCGTACAAAATTGCAGCAGGGCCACTTGTGTTTCTGAAACATTTCATGCAGCAGGCTCTTTTGTTTACAAATAAGGGGTTATGTCAGGCATTTGGTGACATTTGGTTTTCCGTGGCAATTTCGCTCCCTTAATTCTGGTATTATTGAAAAGCGTATTGAGAACAGTCAGCAGCGGCGTTGCCGCAAGAGCAACCGCTTCAGCGCCTTGCCTTGTATGGGAGTTTATCGTTTACGGGGCGGAAAGGCAGAGATCAAAACGATTAATAATAGCAGGTATTCCACCAGGCTAAGTGGGCGTTAGCTTGATCTGTTGGACAAGCAGGCACATTAATGAAATATTTCCCCTCCGTCTCGTGAATCCTCTCTGTTAAACTGCAACGAGAATATGTGAAAATCAAAACAAAATCCCTGGTTTGGCATTGGCGTTTCGGTGGTTATTGAAAGGGCTCTCCCCGTGAGAATCAGCGGGTAGCTGGAAGTTAAACCCGTTCTTAAACCGGCGAGATAGCAGCGTCCGAGTGCCGGTCTTCTCAAGGTGCTGCTGTAAAGCTGGCTGGCTGGAAATACCCAGTTTTGGAGAGCTCTTACTGGTGTCTGTGGATCTGACACATCCGACTACAGCCCGGTGATGGACGTTGCTGTGGGAAGTCCCTTTTCAAAGTGTTTTGATTGCAAATTGGGGATATCTGATTCAGTGTGTGCCTTCTGGCCGGCACAGCCCCGCCGTCGCTCCCTCGATCCGCTGTGCTCTAGCGTTGCCTCTGAATCCAGAATGGCACACAAGCTAACGTTTCCTTTTTGACTTAATCTTGCTGATCTCTCCTTATCTTGCAGACGATCTGGCCTCATCTAGAGTCCGCCTCTATTTCTTCATCTCGAATGAAGGGAACCAGAACTTGTTTGTCGTTCAAGCCAGCCTGTGGCTTTACTTGAAGCTGCTTCCATATGTCTTAGAGAAAGGCAGCAGGCGAAAAGTAAGAGTCAAAGTCTATTTCCAGGACCCGGACACTAGCAACAAGTGGAATGTGGTTGAAAAGAAAGTTGATCTCAAAAGAAGTGGTTGGCACACTTTTCCCATGACAGAGGCGATCCAGGCTCTGTTTGAGAGAGGAGAAAGGAGACTGAACTTGGATGTTCAATGTGAGGGCTGTGAAGAGTATTCAGTGCTGCCAATTTATGTGGACCCCGGGGAGGAATCCCACCGGCCTTTTTTAGTGGTGCAAGCCCGCCTCGCCGATAACAAACACAGGATCCGGAAAAGAGGCCTGGAGTGCGATGGCAGGACCAATCTATGTTGCAGGCAACAGTTTTACATTGACTTTAGACTCATTGGGTGGAATGACTGGATCATAGCACCATCAGGTTACTATGGGAATTACTGTGAAGGGAGCTGCCCGGCCTACTTGGCCGGCGTCCCGGGGTCGGCTTCCTCCTTTCACACCGCTGTCGTGAATCAGTACCGAATGCGGGGGCTGAACCCGGGCACCGTGAACTCCTGTTGCATTCCAACCAAACTTAGCACAATGTCAATGCTGTACTTTGATGATGAATACAACATTGTGAAAAGGGACGTTCCCAATATGATTGTGGAAGAATGTGGTTGTGCTTGATTTAAGGTGTGTTTTTGGGGGGGGGGGGGGAGGGGGGTTTGAGAGGGCGAGAGAAAGAGAGAAGCATTCCTGTACGAGATGGTGTTGGAGGAAGTTTCACTGTGTATCCAGGCATCAGTGTTGGAAAGTCACTGTGGAAAAGTTTGGGAAAAAAAAAAAAAAAAAGAAAAAAGAAAAAAAAAAATTCACTTTGGTGTCAGGACAGTGGCAGTTTGTGGATCTTGGACACTTATATATTCTACCACTTATAAGTTAATGCTATGAAATATCTTAAAGACACACACACACACACACGAAACGTGGGCACGCACACGAACACGCGCTCAGACACACACACACAGACACACACAGACACACACACACACATACGAGGCAGCTCGGAAAAGGGACATGAGCACAGAAAGTCAGTGACCAGTGACGACGGACCTAAATGCCTGCCAGTACGAGTGAACGGCTGAGCAGCTGTTTCCCCGCCTGCCGGCGAAGTCAGACCGCAATGAGCTCCCTTTGCTCAGGCAAAAGCACAGACTGCGAGAACACGACGTATTCTTGCGCGCAGGTGTCGAAATGACCAAACTTAGAAAATAATTAAAAAAAAAAAAAAAGAAAAAAAAAAAAGAAAAAAGTCGACTGTCACCTCTTAGGTCTAATGGGAAGCTGCAGGACACCTGCCTTGGGAGGAGATCACTTCCTCTTAATTTAAATTTATCTAAATGTAAACATCACAGATACCCGCATCTTCCTACAGCACTTCCAGTAAGGAATCGCATGGTCCCATCGGGGAGAGAGAAAAGGAGACAGACACGTAAGCGACTGCTGTATTTCTAACATCCGACCGTTGCAAAGTCACAAGCTGGGCTGGCGTGATCTGATGCTTTAACTGCCCGCAGGCAACCCGTGGATGGCTATACCCGCCGTGTCTTGGAACAGGGGATCCCATGCCCTATGTGGACTGTGTTAACCGTTGGCATCTCTCACTGTTCGGAGAATGAAAAGTTGAGGTTTCAATCTTGTGCTCTTCAACGGGGGACTCAGCAAGGACACGTCATGTGGGGGATGAGCAAACAAGCAACCGCTACCACGGCTAAACCAATGAACCCTGAAGAGGAGTGACAGTAACAGAGTGGAGACGTTCTGAAAAATGCAGTGCGTTTAATAACAGGCAAGGAACATTTTAACAAGTCTTGGAAAGGAGGAGAGAGGAGTGTGCTTTCAATTTCCTTACCAGGAGGTGTCGAGGATGGCCACAAAGATCAGAAAATAACGATACAGCATAGCACTTGCAAACTGCTTGAATGCACGTATAATAGCACTTGCAAATTTCAATGCCTTGAAAAGTGGTACTTGATAGTGCACTTATCTTTGCTCACTATCTAGGTAAACAGGTGCCGCATGAGCTATGCAATTTAAAGTGTTGACCCATACTAGACGAAACTGGACTTATGATATGACTTTTTTATATTTTTTTATACTTGAAATTAAATCTTTTGCTTCTTTTTTAAAGCGAATGATTGCTTTTAATGTTTGCACTGATTTAGTTGCATGATTAGTCAAAAAACTGCCATTTGAAAAAATGTTATTTTTATAGCAGCAAAAAATGAATACAGTTAAATGTATTATACAGAAATTTTGGAACCAAAGAGGCCAACATATTAGTTATAATTTTTATGAGATGGCAAAGCCATCATATATCATGTAGTCATACTGAGCAATCCCTCACGAGGCCTACCAATTGTTTCAGGGTACAAAATGGATTCTGTTTGTTCTATTCAGTGTCTTTTCTATACCATACGCACATGGAACGTAGAGTGAAAAAAAATGACTATTGTAGAATACATTACAATATGTGCATCCTTTAAATCCAATTTTTATGTTTATTTAATAAAGTTCCTTTTAGGTTCTGTTCCATAATAATTTAAACCAAACAATTTTCACTTAGATTTGCTGTTGAAGTATTTTACATTTGTGTACAGTTTAAATAAATAAAAAAAGATTGAAAACTGGATGTGCTTTCTTTCTTTTTTTTTTTTCCCTTCAGTGCATAACATCTGGAGAAACTTGCTTACTTTCAGGACTGAAAGCGGCTGCAGACGGTGCACTGTCGCATTAGACCGTGGTCGTATTAGTCATTGCAGAAAGCCTTGTCTGAGAGCTCAGCTGCGATCCTAAAAATGTTACACTCTAGCTTTATTGCCGTCTGTACATGTAAGCATCTGCTTCTTTCTATCTGCATCAGTGCAGGGTTTCTGGGCGCAAGACCGGTGCTGTTCCGCATACCTGCAGGTCATTACAGCCAGTTCCTGGTTCACCTGCTGTGTAAGAATGTAACTTCTTGTCTAGGTCACTCCCTGATCTGTTACAAGAAGTAAAAAAAAAAAAAAACAAAAACGTGGAAAGCACTTCCAGGAAAAAGAGGTCAATACTAAGTTTGATGAACTTTTTTTTTTTTTTTTTTTGGCACCAAGGAGAGTTTTCTTGAGTAAAATACATCCCCTTTACTATTAAAAAAACCCAGAATGTTGGGAAATATTAATAGAAATTCTTGTCCGCTGTGCATATATCCAGGTATTGATTTCATTGATCTTCACAGCTAAATTCTTCCTCCTGGAGACCTGAGCAAATGCCAGCTGAAGCTGACAGAGGACCTCTGTTGACTTAGCAAATGTTAGGTCTGACCCTGAGACCTAGAAAGTGTCGAAGAAGCAAGTTCTTGCAACTAATGATGGGTTCTAGTTACGATTTGCGTTCAAGTGCAGCTCTGTCCACCCCTCCCCAAAGCCAGACACTGAGGTTAAACAGCTTTGTTTCGGGAGATCTCTAGGAGCAATTTGCTGTGGCTGTGTCAACAACCTGCCGCACAGAGCTTTGTCCTCCAGACCAAAATTTTCTGAATATTTCATAGCTTTCTCACCTTCTTGAACTGCGTGTTTATTGCCAAAGCCACCGCTTGCTGTTCCTGCTCCATCTCTTAGCAGCTTTCTCCCCCGTCTTTCTTCCTTGGGCCAACTCTGTTACCGGTGACTGCAATAAATTCCCCTTGAAATCAGTGGCAAATACACGTCCCTTCAGTCTGAGGGCACATTTGACCTAATATGACACAGTCTTCATTAATAAGACTGGGCTGCACTTTCAAAAATGGGATATATTAAGAAATCTTGCCCATTGAAATGCAAGGCCCCGGAGGCTGGGTCCGGTTAGGTTTCGTTCTTAATTGAAAGTGGTTGATTTCTGAGGTCGAAGCCAAGCCCTGCCTTGGACACTGGGGCTCCTGAGGAGAGGAGGGTGTCTCAGCGTGGGATTTGGACCCGCAGCCCTGAGGAGCAGGGGGCTGCTGGCAGCCAGGGTGCCTTGAGCTTGGGCTGTCCAGGAGCAAGGAGCAGGAGTGGGCTGTGCTTTGCATCCCACTGCAAACCCACAAGCAAGCCCGGGATCGTGAACTCTTTCACAGAGGCCAGCAAAGAACATCCCTTTTCTTGGTAAAAAGCTTTCACAGCTTTCTTCCCCTGCCTTCCCTCCTCCCCCATCTGCAGCTGTGGCCCTGACGTTCATGGGGCAGAAAGAGGGGCATCATCTGGGAGTGGGACAAGCTGGATCATAGTTCAGGTTCCCAAGTCCTTTTATTTTGTGTGAAACAGCCTCTGGAAACCGATCTGAAGAGAACATGCTTTGAGTTTTCTGTAGTGTGGATTCACTCGCTGCTCTGGGCGTGCTGCAGAGCGCGAGGTATCCCCAAGTCCCGGTGCTGACAGCAACCTGTCACACAGATTTCTGAGGCTGAAATGAAACAAAATTTAAAAGGTCTTTAATTCTGAGGGACCAATCTGAGACAGTTTGGGCTTGATTTTTCAGAGATGTGACAAGCTTGTGCCAGCTTTTTGCAGGGGG